TAAGTAGTATTATGTAATGAACTTGAACCATTGAGTATTTAACTTGAATAACTGCATATTTAATTCAAATTTTGCTACAATAGGCTCTGTTCTTAACTATGGGTCATCTGTAAACCAGGCGTTCTTAACCCGGGGACTGTAATTCAAGACACATTCATTTCTCTTGTACTGCATGCTTGGCAGAACTGAACACATTCTTCTCTAAATTGGTAACTGTGCCTAATCAAATGTGAATATATGCTGCCCTCTCGTGGCTATCCATAACAACACAAATCTCTAGATGGAGTTGGGGTAAGGGACCCTAAGAACTGAGTTTCTTCAGTCTAATCCCCTGCTGTGGAGAAACCCACTAGCCAGCTCTTGCTGGAAAACTTAGCAAAGAGGAACTCACTACCACCACCATTCTAGGCAGACCAGAATCTGATGTGCGTGAATCTCCTTCCTTTTTATTTCAGTGCCAAAGAGGTAACCTACACCAAGCTGATCCCGTTGAAGCCTTGAAATGCTTCTGTCGCTATGACACAGACGGAGTGCCCAGTCATCCGAAGTCTTTTTAGTGCTATCAAGAATGACACTGGCCTCTTCTTTTTTTTAAAAAAATGCAGTTACTTTAACCCCTTGCAGTTCAGGTGTTCTATTCCTACTGGGTGGTACTATCTTTATCTTTCTAAATCTTCGGGTGACTGACAACTTGAAAGAGTTGTCTTTCTCTCTTTGTAATTTCCAGGGATTAGAAGCAACTTAACTTCAGAAGCGACACTTAGAAATGTGGACTTAAAAAAAATAAAGGATCTTTATGGGATAGCAACACAGATCTGGGCTGCATATGGCAGACTGGGCTTATAGTGAATGACCTTGTGAGTGTCTTGAACGCTTCTGCTTGGCCATGGTGTGGTAAAATTCTGAATGGTGGCCCAATCCCATTCTGAATAGAACAAAATAAACTCTCAGGATATGGAAACTTACTGTCTGGGAATCTGCGAGGATACAGAGCATTGACACACCAGTTTCAATGCGTAAAGATTTCATTTCCACCTTTAGAGCCTCTTATCCTGGATTAACAGACCGCTGAGAATTGGAGAATGAGCCATCCATCTCAGAAAGCATCAAGATTTTCCAGTTCCTTTGTTCTAGATTCTGCTAGCCTACAAATTATTCAATCCTTGAATAATTTTCATTAGAACTTCTGTACATGATCTATGCTGAAGTCTGAATAGGCAGAAGCATTCAGTCACCCGTGCCTGGTCTCTAAAGCCAAACAGGGTTAGGTCTGGTTAGAATTGGATGGGAGACTTCTAGAAAACCCAGAAATATAGGCTAGGTTGGAAAGTTTTTTTAAAAATCCCCAAAGAAAACACAGGAAAACCTCTTCTGTAATGTTGCTAGCATAGACTGCTACAGATCCAGCAGAGAGGGCATGTTATAGGTTCTGTTACCTAGTATCAGGCCTAGCCCAAGGAACTCCAAGAGACAATGCAAATTCAGTTCAGCTATGTTTATTA